GTAGGTTGTCTGTGTTGAAGCCACCATGGTCTAGGTGGTCTCCTAGCCCTTACAGGGTGTCTCAGTGCAATAGGCAAGTCAGGAGAAGGTGAGCCATGAGGAGGGTGATTTGGAAGCTCAGGAGGTTGATTCACAGGTGGTTTTGCATCAAGGTCCAAATGAGGCCCATTGTCAGGCAATGGCTGAGGCTGCTGAAGCGCAGCTGGTGGGCCCATATCTCCCCCTGGACCTGGTGCAGGGACATCCTCAATCAGGCCCAATGGCATGGATAGCGAAGGTGGAGTGGGAGGTGGAGGCGGGACATTGTCAGAAGACCTCTTCAAGCCAGGGAAGTAGCGCTCATCAAAATCAGCTCTCTCAGAGATAACAGTGCGCTTGGTGGTAGGATTGTAGAATTTCCATCCCTTGTATCCCTCAGGGTAACCAATGAACACACATTTCTCCATATGAGAGCCAAAGACGCCTCTTTTGTCCTTTTGCACATGCACATAGGCAGTGCAGCCCCAAACGTGAAGGTGAGATATGTCAGGCTTGCGTCTATACCACAACTCAAATGGAGTGGCATGGGCCACTGCATCAGTGGGACACCTGTTCCAGACATGCACCAAAGTGGACAGACATTCACCCCAGAAGCTGTTAGGCAATCCAGACTCTGATAACATGGCAGTGATACGCTCAGTCAGAAGTCTGTTTGCTCGCTCTGCCACACTACTCTGCTGAGGACAATTCCTGGTGGTATGCTGTCTGACAATCCCATGGTCATCTGTGAATTGCTCAAATTCTTTGGACATGTACTCTCCCCCTTTGTCATCGTGCAGAGCCTTGATTTTACGCTCCAATTGAGTCTCAGCATAAGCCTTGAATCTCTTGAAAGCATCAAAGACATCTGACTTGGCCTTGAGAGGCACAACAACACGGAATCGACTGTGATCGTCAATGAAGGTGACCCAGTAGCGATAACCAGAGAATGTGGGGGAAGAGACTTGGTGTAGATCAGAATGGATGAGGTCCAAAGGATGAGCAGAGCGAGTATCAGATGAGGGGAATGGATTGGCATGCATCTTGCCAGACAAGCACAGTTCACAGACAGGATCAGGAGCAGCCTTGGATTCCAGTGTAAGCCCAGTGACCAGATCTCTCTGTATCAGTCTCTTGACATCAGCATGATGGTGGTGAGCCAATCTGCGATGCCAGAGCATCAAATCAAGTGGTATAGTCGCAGTAAAATGTCCCAATTCAACACAAGCAGCAGTAGATCCATCAAGGAATGCTGCATTGTTGTCATTGATAGTTGCAGTGAACAAGAGAGTGTTGTCACGCATAAAGGACATGGAATGAGACGAAATAGTGACATTGAAACCACTTTGACGAGTTAAATACAAGACTGAGAGGAGATTATTTCGAAGATCTGGTACATGGAGCACTCTAGAGAATTCCACAGCCCTAGCCACTTTGCCATTCATCACAGGATTAAACACCACAGTACCAACACCAGCTGAATAGACAACAGTGTGATCAGCCAGCTTGATTGGCACACGATATGGGGTATAGTGGTGCACCCAATGATGATGAGGTGTCATATGAGAAGTGGCGCCTGTGTCTGCATTCCAATCAATGTCAGCATCAAGTTGGAGAGGGCAATGAGGATCAGAGGGATGAATGGAACGAAGACTTGCATTTCCAGCTGATTCAGTGACCACAGTAGATGAATTGGCATTGTTGGGCGAAGATTTGGGCTGCTGAGAGGTATTCTGAGAGTTGCTGGAGCCTGCCTGAGCCTTATTGCCACGCTTGTAGCGATTCTTAGCACCCTCCACTGCCTGTTGGCGACTAGCAATGTATCTGTGGCATTTGTCTTGGGTATGACCAAGTAAACCACAGAAATCACACTGAACGCGAGTAGAGGTGGTGGATTGGTTGCAATGATGGCAGTTAGGATGGGTGCAGGTGCTATTGGCAGTGGTAGATGAAGAATGCAAGGCAGAATTGACTTCAGCACGATGACGGCGATTGACCTCTTCAGCAAGGAAAGCATCCCTGAGCTGGGTCTTGTCCAAGGTGCCCAGAAGTAGTAGAGATGAAGTGAAGTGGGCATATTGATCAGGAAGCGCCCTAATCATGGCCATGCATGTCAATTCATTGTCCAATTCAGACAATGAGAAGCCAGTAGGACAAAGATTTTGAATCTAATGCATGCCTTCGTCAATTCTGGTCATGAGAGACTGCAGGGACTCGTCCTCCTTCTTTCTGATAGAGAAGAAGTCGTCATAGACATTAAATCTTGTCCCAGGCTTCTTAGAGACGTGCACAATTGCTAGTTTCTCCCAGATCTTGACAGGATCATCAATGATGCCATCAAGATGAATGCGCTGCTCTTTGGTGATATTGAGGTATAATACACCAGCAGCCTTTTCAGCTCTCAACTCCCATTTCTCTATTGCTTCAGCGTCAGTCCCAGGACACTTTTCAGCGCCAGAGACGAGCCCCCACAGTCCCTTGGTCATCAACCAAGCTTGCATTTCACCACTCCACTGGGGGTAGTTAGTGCCAGACAAGGGATGGAACTTGGGATCAGAGTCAGACATGATGGGTGTTGTATAAAACAATAGAGCAATGATAAATGATGTAGGAGACGGCTATAGGCAATGGAATAGTGGCAAAGACAATGGGCAACAGTAGGAGGCGAGCAGATAAGATGGTGAGGCGGTAGAGAGAGGATATGGAGAGGGTCAGAAAGCGCAAGGATAGGTCCAAATAGGGTCCAAAAAGCGCCCAAAAGTGATCCAGGAGGGTGCTAAGGCTTCCTAGTGCTGCTACAGGGTTACGCCTGTGTTCCCCTTTCAATTCCACACTGATATTAACAGAGAAATCGCCTCGAGACAGTGTTGGTTAAAAGGGCTTGTATATGAGTCAACAAAGTGACTTAAGCTCCCCAAACACCGCAGACTGAGAGAGGCTCTAGGCAACAGCAAACTGAGGCAATGCAGGCGAGCTTCACAGTCTATAGGCTTGTTCTATCTGATAATGGACAGAGTAGAGAAGATTGGAGCTTTATGCACACACCAGATATGCCAAAAAGCGAAAAATAGGGCAAAAAGTCGAAATTGATGCAGAGACAGATAAGATGGATGGATTGCCACCAAATCAGAGGTATAGGGAACATTTTTATAGAGTAATAGATGGCCCAAATAGAAGTGAAGCACAGGATGTGGAGATATGCAATAGGGGTCCAATAGGGGTGAAAGTGCCAAGAATGCGAACTTCACAGAGGATGATGGAGTGGATGGATTGCCCCCAAATTGACGGTGTAAAGTGCAATAGTATAGGGTAGTAGATGGCTCAAATAGGGCCAAGATCCGAGCACAGGATGTGGAGATATGGAATAGGGGGCCAAAAGGTGATCAAATGATGATGAAGGCTCACAGAAAGATCCAGCTCAAATCCAACTGCTCTGACAGGTCTCCTAGGGTTATTTAGGCCGTAGAAGACGATGGTAGAAGTTACAGGACAATCAGATAAGGATTGGGCGAGATATGGTGCAGATAAGACCAAAAAAGCGTCTGAAATGGGGGTAACTTGCAACAAGGAGTTGTTGTTGGAGATCAAGATGAGATCAGAGTAATCTGAGGTGATGGATGAGATAATAAGAGTCCCAGAAGACGATGGTTACGATGGATAAGCAGTAGGACGCTTGGATGGTGAGATATGAGGTCAGGAAGATGGCTAGAGCACAGGGCTCATAACCTATTAAGAACAAAGCTTGAAGGAAGTGTCTAGCCACTTGCTGAGAGCAATCAGGGACTGGAACTAGAGTCCAATGTGAGTAACTAGAGAATAGGAAGCATTGGACTCTGCAGTACTGTCCGAAGTTTTGTAAACAAAGGTAAACAAAGCAGCCACAAAGGCAAAATAATAGAGAACACAATCAATAGTGAATGATAGAAGAATAGATAGAGAAAGGAATGAAAATATATAGGTAGCACAAAGGTGCAGAATCACCAAAACTAACACTTGGGTACACTTATCTTTCGTCCATCGTCTTCGCTACAGCTACAGCTACCACACACTGCCTGGGACTCACTTGTTCCAAATTGGAACTACTCCCCTCCCTCCCTCGCCCAACCAGGTGGTCCAGTACAACCAGTCCATTGGTAAAGCCATGGAACTGTCAGATTTGGACTAGGTGGTGGACCGGTGGCTCCAGTTTCTTTTTTTTCAGCAGAACATTCATTTACAGTGCAATTATTTTGATTTTTGAATCATTTTATGGACACATATTTTTACTATATAAACCCCTGTATTTACCTTGTAAAAAGAACAAGAACTCAATCCCAGACTTCTTCTCTAATTTCAAGTTCACTACTCTGCTGCTTGTGATCCAGTGTGGTCACAACACTTCCCACTGCTACTACTGTTAACTGCTGTCATCATTACTTCCCACTTTTGAAGTCATTGTCATCCCTTTCAATTAGAGTCCTTCTGAGCACTACAGTTTGTGCGTCAGAAGCCTGCTATCACTGGGAACCTTGTCATCTTGTCGTTCTCAAACCTACCTTGTGTTACGATTAGCAAGGTAGTGCTTGTCTATACTCGCCACAAAGCCCCTATCTTTCTATATTCCAACTACCCCTTCTCCTCAAAACCCACACCCATACATCTCTGGGTTTTACTTTAAAGGATCATTATACGTACCACCCCACAAACAACAAGACCACTCCACTGTTCTAGGAGGTAAAGCCCATAAACAAGTTCTGTGGAATCTGGGAGGATTGTGTGTTAGTTTGTTTTTGTGTGTGGTTTTCTAACAACAATTCTCATCATTGACAGCAGTATGGTTAAAAAATTGCACCTCTACAAAAGCATTAGCCAACATGATGCTGCATGAAGCAGCCCACAGTGCCAAACCCAATGTTTCCCTGCTGCATAAATGGGGCTGAAAAGTCCTAGTCCACGATCCCAGTGGATCCAAGCTAGAAAGCCGAGTGCAGGAAGGACACTGGATGGGTTTTGACTATGAAAGCAAAGGACATCACATCTACTGGCCAGAAAAGCGCTCAGTAACTGTTGAACGCATGGTACAATTTAACGTTAAAAACATACCTCTCAATGTAAATGATGGGACTCCCTTTGGGCTTGAGGGGGAAAATACTCTTGTAGAAGTCCAAGCACCTAAAGAGAGTCAAATCATTGAGATTTTTAACAATGAAGATGCATCGGATGAAGGCGGACCTCTTAATCCACCTGATCCCCAAGACAACCAACTACCCCCTCTTCAACAACCTCCAGCTCTTCCAGCTAAATATAAACAATGTTGAAGGAAGAGACAAAGAAGAACGAGATGATGAAGCCATGAGAGACTTAGCCCAAAATGTAGCTATGGTTGCATGCATGGCTTGTAAGGACCATTTTATTATTTTCTTATCTTCACTATGTCTTGGTTCTCGAACGCTTTTCCCATTACACCTTTGGCTCTAGGGCTAGAGGTATCATTTGCCGTTCTACTTCTCATAGCCCTCACAGGCTTTCTTAACCATCGCTACCATTTTATATCACAGATCAGAGACTGGGTATCGCTCCCAGCCAGCCAGCACACTGGGTAGGGACTGGTAGTAGGCATCTCGCCAACCAGCTTCAAGCCCCAGTAAAGCCTGGTAATACTAATAACGCCTTATTTAGGATTGTACCTCATCGTGAGGATACGGTTCCTGAACACGCGTGACAATCCTCTATTATTAGTACAAGTCTCTCACATGCTGATTAATCAAGTCAAAAGTTGTACGATAGTTACTCCCCCTTTTTCTTATTGGTTGATTAATTCCTCAGACCACTTTTCGTATATTCTCCTTTTGGTCTGAGGAACGGACAGTTCCCTATATAAAGCCTTACCTATTCATGTATGGCTCCTTAGTTTTCTATTACTGAATTTACCCGCTTTACTCCTCAACAAGAACCTTTGAAGCTTACCACTCAAAGTCCTCTACTCGCTATATTTGCTAGCGTCTGTCGACCTCAAGCTCATTGAACCCTTACTCCCTGCAAGTGCAGAAGGAGATAGGTTTAGTTTTTGTTATAGTTTATCGTTGCCTCACATGGCTGACCTTGACAGTGTGGAACCAAGAACCGTCGAGGAAGCAAAGAAACGCCCCGATTGGGACAAATGGAAAGATGCAATCAGCGAAGAGCTAGAGAGACTGGATACAGCCGGAACGTGGACTCACATTGAGAAACCAAAAGGAGCTAATGTCATTGGTAGCCGCTGGGTATTCAAAGTCAAGAAGACCGCATCTGGAGCTATTGACAAATATAAGGCAAGGTTAGTCGCACAAGGGTTCAGCCAAGTGGAAGGCATCAATTATTTTGATAATTTTGTACCTGTTGCAAAAATGGTTTCACTGCGAATCATCCTGGCCATGGCTGCATGTGAAAACTGGGAACTCCATCAAATGGACGTAAAGAGCACGTACCTGAATGGAGAACTTGATGACAATGAGGTCATATACATGCGTCAACCTCCTGGCTACATCACTCAGGGAAAAGTAAAACAAGTCCTACTCTTGAATAAAATTTTGTATCGCCTAAAACAAGCTGGCTGTCGCTGGTATCAGACTTTGTGCGAAAACCTAAAAATGATTGGACTGATACGCTGTGAATCAGACAACGCAGTTTTTCATAGATGAAAAGAAAATGAACTCATGATCTTAGCAGTGCATGTTGATGACATGACACTGGTGACACCCATATGACTGCCCTGAAAAACGAAGTATCAAAACTTTTCAAAGTCAGTGACCTTGGAGAATTGCATTGGATGTTGGGAAAGGAAATAAAAAGGGATCGACTCACCCGGACAATAAGCCTCTCCCAGCACTCGTATATTGATGCCATAGTCCAACATTTTGGCCTTGAGGATGCAAAGCCCCTGTCGATGCCAATGGTGGCGAACATGTATCTAACAAAAGACCAGTGCCCCAAGACGCCTGAGGACTTTGCAGATATGAGAGATGCACCTTATTGAGAGATCATAGGATCCCTCAAGTATGTGGTGATTGCCACTCGGCCAGATATTGCGCATGCTGTGGCCATACTATTGAGGTTCGTTGAGAATCCTGGGAGGGCGCATTTGGAGGCGGCGAAAGGGTGGTGAAGTATCTGAAAGGGACGCGTGAGCTTTGGCTATGCTATGGACCAGAAAAGAAGGAACTTACCGGTTATTGTGATGCTGATGGCAGCATGCATGAAAACCACCGCGCTATCTCAGGATATGCCATCATGTTCAATGGCGGAATGATCTCCTGGTTCTCAAAACAGCAAGAGTTGGTCGTGCTGTCAACGACGGAAGCAGAATACATGGCTGCAACCCACGCACAAAAGAACTCCTCTGGATTAGGATGTTCATGGAAGAGGTATGTGGGAATGACGCACCAATGCCGACTCTGTTCTGTGATAACCAATCGGCAATAGCCCTGGCGAAAGACAGTCAGTACCACGCCAGAACCAAACATATTGACATACAACTACATTTCATACGTCACGCAATTGAACAGGGCAAGATCAAAATGATCTACTGCCCAACCGAAGACATGATCGCCGATACGCTCACCAAGGCCCTGCCATCCGTTAAGGCAAAACATTTTGCTGCCGAGCTTGGGCTTCGTGTAGCTTGAGGGGAAGTGTTGGAACAACTATGTCGAGTCTTGAGACAAGCTGGTACAAAGCGCCTAGAAAGGAAGGCAAGTAAGTTAGGGTGGCCCGTGCACCACTATATACCATCAAATTTTTTGATCCCGTTATTTTACTTACCTATAAAGAGGGCTTGATTGCCACGTATCACCTCAGACTCTGTAACGAGATCTGAGGTGAGACCCTCTATGTTTTCTTCTCCTTCTTGAATAACTAGCTGATTATTAGTATAGCCTTCTGTCTTATCTATAGGTACTTATCTAAATGTATGCGAAGACTCTGTAACGAGATCTGAGCCTTCTGTCTTATCTATAGATCAATCCAAACGACTTGACCTTGGTGTGGAAGGTTCATCAGCCTCTGATTCGACACGAGAATGGGATCCCGGCATGGCTCAGAAATCCGACAAAGCAACACCCTGCGAAAGAATGTTAGTTGATGATGTCGGGACTTCTCTAAGCGATTCTCGCGCATTAAGACTGTAAATTGAGTTAGCTTAATACGGGGAGCAAGGCAAGGAACATACGTAGCTAATAAAGAGTTCGCATAAACTGGATCAACATCAGCATCTTTATCGCAGATTTTGGATAATGTAGAACACATACGGTTATTGATGAATTGGTACAGTGCAAGATATATTACGTTGTTAGGCATGGTGACAAACTGTTTTCAACTCTGGATTTCAGCATAATGAGGAATAACTTGGGAGTTGACGTACGCAAACTAAGATAGCAACATCCGTCACGCTGATTAACATTCGAGCAGTAAGTAGTAAGTCAATGCATTCACTAACGTACGTATGGCCAATCGGTGTGTTCTTTGTCTTACTGTTCCATCCTGGAATATATTTGGAATATATTTAGCGACTACGGAGATCAATTTCATGATGGACGCAACCGTTCTATTCATCAATGCTTACCATCCTCAATACATTAACAAGAAACGCGGTTTCAATGGCCGGGCTACACCAATCTATTAATCCTCCATCTCGCTGATACTACACTCGACTAGTAGGCCATTGGGCGTAGTCTGAACGTTTCGTATTTGACAGAATTATACCATGGCTGTGAAATCAATGTCTCACTGCGTGTCCATTCAGTCCACTGCTACAAGATGCCGTCTTTGGTCGTTAACGGTTTCAGGCTTTGATATACATTTTATGTAGATAGTTGGGAAGCGGTCGTCGTATGTCGACTGCCTGCATGAGGTACTGCTTGTAAGCTTTGCATTACGGGATTGAAAAGAATAAATTATTTAACCTCACCCCTAGTATTTGATCCACCCACATTGATCGTGGGATTCGTAGTGGTCCCGGAACCCCGATTTACAATGCTTTGGACAATGATAGTCTGGTTTACAGTGACGTCTGATGTTCCAAGTTGACGAATGGGTATCGACTGTAAGGCCTGAGCAAAATTTTGGACCTGTCCTAGGATTTGTTCATTGGTCTGATTTCCATCAGCTGGTCGTGATCCCATATCAGCTCCATCGCCATCATTCTCATCTAAATCTGCATCTGAACACAAACATATAGGATGGTTAAGTCCTTCTAAGGAAGATCCTGGGTAATCTGAAAACTCACCACCCTGAGTGACAATATCTATAGCAGTGAAGAAGCTCGTTGTTATACTGATCTGTGATTCACGATCTATGAAATTAAAGCTTTACACTGTCGACAGATATAGGAGGTATTTAACTAACCTTCACTGCTTTGCGCTCTCGTCCTCATAATCTCATCTGAAGTAATCTAGCTGACTATAAGCAGTGTGCTTACAATGTGCTCAGTCGCTTACTTTCGCAAAATTCAAGACAGCAAGACATTCTTCAGCAAAGCCACGATTTTGATAGTACATTTTTATTATCTTTCGGGGGTCCCACTTGCTCGATCTATTATTCTCTTGCATGAGTAGAAGAGCAACAGTGTTTAGTCTAAAAATGAGATATCGATTAAAATTTGGAATGGTAGTCGAAACATTGCTCACCTTGTGATACGAGATTGTATGTTACCAATTTTCCTCTTTATATCCGGTCTGGCCTCAGCAGAATATCTTTGGCATTGATAGAGCAATTTGACGGATAACTTGTTGTATAATCGACCTTTCTCTAGATTGGAGCACTTCTTAGCTGTTTCGGGCAGTGTAGCGAGGGCTGCTACGAGATCGAATTCGGGCTCGTTATTCTGCATGTGTTATGGGAGGAATGGGAAATACAGTATGTGGTGTAGCCCGTCGATAGAAAGTCGTTGGAATGTGAATAGACTTGTCACTGATATGATTGAAAGAGCCGGATGAGTGGACGCGGCGTAAATAAGCAGAAACAAACGCCAGCGGACTCTACAAGTCTCCATCGAATACATAAAAACAAGACATTCTCATGTAGCATCACGAGGCATAAACACGATGAGAAAAGCGATAGTCTGCATATAATTTTGATTGGCATGATGATCGTCTGTTGTTTACGGGTAGGGTAGAGTGACGTAGAAAAGGCAATGTTGCGCAATGCAGATGAGGTGCTGACTAGCGCCGACTTGTCGGACCTGTCTGTCTGAAAACTGGCTGCCAAGAGTCTACTGTAAAAGATTGCGAAGTCATTTGAGGCCTACTTACAGGATTCGGTGATAACGTCATAAAAATATGAGACAGCGCGTGTCGAAGAGAATACTCAAGGGGTTCCAAATACATGCCTTTATTCTTAAGCTCCATTTGAGCAAGTCAGCCTCAGGACGAATGGAAAATATGGTGGAACTGTGAAGTCGCACGTTTGCCTACAGTGAGCTCCGCAGTGTCGGGGGTTCAACTTGAGAATCCGCGAATTTCTATAGGTCCATATTTACGTGATTTTTGATTTTTAGACTACACCTGATGCTCTCAGATTGGAAACACTAGACTGTATGCTCTGCAATGCTTTCTCGTCGTCGCCAGCGTCAAGCTGAATGGGAAGAAAGAATAGCACGGGAACAAGCGGAGTTCCAGGAACTAGCCTGTCAAGTGTTTGGATCACCTCTGTCGACTATCCCTGGAGCCATTGGTAAAGTTGAAAGTTGGTGGTGCCAGCAATATCAATGGTTGAAGGAAACTGGATACTTGTTGCGCCCGCGATACGCGCCTGGCTGGGTTCCGTCATGGCAAGATACCAAGAAGCGGTGGGTAGAGTGCGAAGACAGTCAAGTGCCTGCTGTGCGTTATCTTGTCGATTGTAGTACTCACTAATAACTAGCTATTGTTTAGAGGGATCATGTGTTGGATGCGACTCGAATGGCCGATGGAGTCTTTGTGACTTTGAAGTTAATCACAAAGTCTCGACATCCATACGAGATTGAGATTGGTCGCCTATTTTCGACCGAACCACTTGTCTCTGACCTTTATAACTACTCTGTACCACTCTATGATGTGCTTGATGTGCCGGATGACGAGGATCAGGCTCTCTTGGTCATGCCATTATTGCGGCCATTCCATCGCCCTCGCTTTGATACGTGCGGTGAAGTAGTAGATTTTTTTCGTCAGCTCTTTTTGGTAAGTTAACCTTGGAGCTCATACTGAAGCTTTGACGATCTTTACTCCAAAGGGGTTGCGATTTATCCACCAACAACATGTTGCTCATCGGTATACTTTATTTAAATATTTGTTTTATCGTCTCTCACACACTGCCAGTGACTGTATGGGCCCCAATATTATGATGGATGCGAACCCTCTGTACATCGATCCTTACCATCCTCAAGATTTGGACATGAAACGTGACTTCAGTGGCAAGGCTAGATACTTCACTCGTACTCGACGCCCACCAAAGTACTTTTTCATCGACTTTGGTATATCCCGCCGTTATGCCGCTGACCACAACGCTCCCCTGGAATACCCCATATGGGGAGGTGACAAGACTGTTCCCGAGTTTCAAAAATCGGACGATGCTTGTAATCCGTTCCCCACAGATATCTATTATCTAGGAAATATGATTAGGGAAAACTTTCTTCTGGTGAGTTCCTTGTCTGTTAACAAAAGGGACTGATTAAGCATGCTCTCTTCGTCGTTCAGACAAAACGCGGACTAGAGTTTATGTTACCTCTTGTGAAAGACATGGTACAAGATGACCCAGTAAAGCGGCCTACTATGGATGAAGTCGTTGCGCGCTTTAACGAGATCCTCAAGGAACTCAGCAGTTGGAAACTGCGATCACGCGTCATCTACAAGGAGGATAGTAACATCGAAAGCCTTTATTATGGTGTTGTTCATTGGACGCGTCGCATCAGCTATATAGTTAGGAGGGTATCAGCGATACCTGGATCCTGAAACCCTTATACTGTATCGTTATACTTGTTTACATCTACTTGTGAATCTATTCGAGGAACTGGATCATTGGCCTCTGTGCAGTGTCCTTCAAATCACCTTACGTGGCAAAGAGTCGCATTGGCATGCAGTGAACGTGTTGTTCATTCGCTTCAAAATCTCTCTTCGATCACTTAGGACGAGGGACATCGGACAAAACTGATCAGAGTCAGTTTCTATTTAGTGGCTTTAATGGGTGAATACACATACACTTGTAAGCTGACATTTCCGCCTTCCTGTTTATCCCTCTGGATTGGATCATTTCGTGTGTCGTATCAAGAGAATTTGTTGTGTACAGTCTGGGATGCTGAACTCCCGAGTGAGAGCTTTGTCAAGGTTGGCCTCTACGAAGTTTAGAAATATATCATGAAGTTTAGAGGATCAGTGCTTTCAAAAGACTGTACCTTGGTGGAAGGTTCATCAGCCTCCGATTCGACACGAGAATGGGATCCCGGCATGGCTCGGAAATCCGACAAAGCAACACCTTGCGAAATAATGTTAGTTGATGATGTCGGGACTTCTCTAAGCAATTCTCGCGCATTAAGACTGTAAATTGAGTTAGCTTAATACGGGGAGCAAGACAAGGAACATACGTAGCTAATAAAGAGTTCGCATAAACTGGATCAACATCAGTATCTTTATCGCAGATTTTAGATATTGTAGAACACATACGGTTATTGATGAATTGGTACAGTGCAAGATATACTAGATTGTTAGGCATGGCGACAAACTGTTTTCAATTCTGGATTTCAGCATAATGAGGAATACCTTGGGAGTTGACGTACGCAAACTAAGATAGCAACATCCGTCACGCTGATTAACATTCGAGCAGTAAGTAGTAAGTCAATGCATTCAGTAACGTACGTATGGCCGATCGGTGTTATTTGTCTTTACTATTCCATCCTGAAATATATTCAACGACTACGGAGATCAAATTCATGATGGACGCAACCGTTCTATTCATCGATGCTTACCATCCTCAATACATTAACAAGAAACGCGGTTTCAATGGCCGGGCTATGCCAATCTGTTAATCTTCCATCTCGTTGATACCACAGTGGGCCATCGGGCGTAGTCTGAGTGTTTTGTATTTGACAGAATTATACCGTGGCGGTGAATTTGATGCCGCACTCCGTATCCATTCAGTCCACTGCTACAAGATGCCGTCTTTGGTCGTTAACGGTTTCAGGCTTTGATATACATTTTATGTAGATAGTTGGGAAGCGGTCGTCGTATGTCGACTGCCTGCATGAGGTACTGCTTGTAAGCTTTGCATTACGGGATTGAAAAGAATAAATTATTTAACCTCACCCCTAGTATTTGATCCACCCACATTGATCGTGGGATTCGTAGTGGTCCCGGAACCCCGATTTACAATGCTTTGGACAATGATAGTCTGGTTTACAGTGACGTCTGATGTTCCAAGTTGACGAATGGGTATCGACTGTAAGGCCTGAGCAAAATTTTGGACCTGTCCTAGGATTTGTTCATTGGTCTGATTTCCATCAGCTGGTCGTGATCCCATATCAGCTCCATCGCCATCATTCTCATCTAAATCTGCATCTGAACACAAACATATAGGATGGTTAAGTCCTTCTAAGGAAGATCCTGGGTAATCTGAAAACTCACCACCCTGAGTGACAATATCTATAGCAGTGAAGAAGCTCGTTGTTATACTGATCTGTGATTCACGATCTATGAAATTAAAGCTTTACACTGTCGACAGATATAGGAGGTATTTAACTAACCTTCACTGCTTTGCGCTCTCGTCCTCATAATCTCATCTGATGTGGCCTAGTTGACTATAAACGATGTGCTCACAAGGCTTCAATCACTTACCTTCGCCAAATTCAAAACTTCAAGACTTTCTTTGGCAAATTTACAATTTTCATAGTAAATATTCATTATCTTGCGGGGGTCCCACTTGCTTGATTTCTTATTCTTTTGCTCGAGATCAAACGCAATGATGTTTAGTCTAAAGATGAGATTGATTAAAGCTGGAAATGGTAATCAAAACAGGGTTCACCTTTCCATACGATCTTCTATATTGTCAATATCCTTCCTTGTTTCCGGTCGGGCCTCAGCGGAATATCTTTGGCATTGGAGGAGCAATTCAACAGATATCTGGTGGTACAATCGACCTCTCTCTAACTTAGAGCACCTTTGAGATGTTTCTGGTAGTGTAGCAAGGGCTGCTACGAGATCAAATTCAGGCTCGTCGTTGTGCATGTGTTGCAGGAGGAATGAAAGATACAGCCCGATAGAAAGTCGCCAGTGTAATATATTTGTCGCTGATATGATAGAAAGATCCAGATGAGTAGGCCTAACGTAAACAAGCAGAAACAGACTAGCAGATCTGGCTGAATGCCAGAAAACAGGACATTCTCATACAACTTGACAAGGCATAAACGCAATGAGGAAAACAACATTCTGCTTACAATTTAGTTGGAATAGTAGGTATGTCGGTTGCAAGTCGGGTAGGGAAGTGTGAAAATAAGCCATGTTTCGCAGTACAGATGAATCCTGTCTGAAACTTGAAGCCGTTCGACTGGCTCAGAGCCTACTAGAAAGGGATGCAAAATCACTTGAGGCCTACTATATAATTGAGCGAGAATATTGTCAGAAAGTACTGATAACGCCAGGTATTTCAGAGTTTCATTCGAGCAAGAGAGCCCCAGGACGTATAGAACTGCAACACTGCACTCTTGAACGTTTTGAACTGTATTTGCTCGCCACAGTGAGCCTCGCATTGGCGGAGGTTAATATTTTAACTTCAGAATCCGCGGCCCTCTGTGGGTCCAGATTTACACGAATTTGTTCAATTTTCTGGAACCAGACTGCTACTCTCAGACTGGGGGTACTACACGTTGCAAAACTCTATGCTCCACAATGTTTCCTCATCGTCGTCAGCGTAAAGCTGAACGAGAAGAAAGGCGAGCACGGGCGCAAGCGAAGTTCCAGGAACGAGCCTGTCAAGCATTTGGATCGCCTCTGTCGACTATCCCTGGAGCCATAGGTAAATCTGAACGTTGGTGGTGTCAGCAATATCAATGGTTGAAGGAAACTGGATATTTGTTACGCCCGCGATACGCGCCTGGCTGGGTCCCTTCATGGAAAGGTACCAAGAAGTGGTGGGCACAGTGCGAAGACAGTCAAGTGCCTGCTGTGCGTTATACTATCTTTGGTGTTTGTAGTGTTCACCGATAACTAGCTATCTCTTAGATGGGTCATGTGCTGGATGCGACTCGGATGAGCGATGGAGTCTTTGTGACTTTGAAGTTAATCACCAAGTCTCGGCATCCCTACGAAATTGAAATTGGTCGCTTATTTTCGACCGAACCACTTGCCTCTGACCCTTCCAATTACTCTGTACCGATTTACGATGTGCTTGATGTGCCAGATGACCATGATCAGTCTATTTTGGTCATGCCATTATTGCGGCCATTCCATCGCCCTCGCTTTGATACTTGCGGTGAAGTAATAGATTTTTTTAGTCAGTTGTTTTTTGTAAGTTCACTCTAATACTCATAATAAAGCTTTGATGATCGTTCCCCTTCAGGGCTTACGATTTATTCATCAACAACATGTTGCTCATCGGTATATTTTATTCAAATATTTGTTTTATCCTCTCTCACCGACTGCCAGTGACTGTATGGGTCTCAATATTATGATGGATGCGACCCCTCTATACATTGATCCTTATCATCCTCAAGACTTGGACATGAGACGTGACTTCAATGGCACAGCCAGATACTTCACTCGTACTCGACGCCCACTCAAGTACTTTTTTATCGACTTTGGTATATCCCGCCGTTATGCCGCTGACAACAGCGCTCCCCTGGAATACCCCATATGGGGAGGTGACAAGACTGTTCCCGAGTTTCAAAAGTCGGACGATGCTTGTAATCCGTTCCCCACAGACATCTATTATCTAGGAAATATGATTAGGGAAAACTTTCTTCTGGTGAGTTCCTTGTCTGTTAACAAAAGGGACTGATTAAGAATGCTCTCTTTGTCGTTCAGACAAAACGCGGACTCGAGTTTATGTTACCTCTTGTGAAAGACATGGTACAAGATGACCCAGTAAAGCGGCCTACTATGGATGAAGTCGTTGCGCGCTTTGACGAGATCCTCAAGGAACTCAGCAGTTGGAAACTGCGATCACGCGTCATCTACAAGGAGGATAGTAACATCGAAAGCCTTTATCATGGTGTTGTTCATTGGACGCGTCGCATCAGCTATATAGTTAGGAGGGTATCAGCGATACCTGGATCCTGAAACCCTTATACTGTATCGTTATACTTGTTTACATCTACTTGTGAATCTATTCGAGAAACTGGATCATTGGCCTCTGTGCAGTGTCCTTCAAATCACCTTACGTGGCAAAGAGTCGCATCGGCATGAAGTGAACGTGTTGTTCATTCGCTTCCGAATCTCTCTTCGATCACTTAGGACGAGGGACATCGGTTAAAACCGATCAGAGTCAGTTTCTATTTAGTGGTTTTAATGGGTAAATACACTTGTAAGCTGGCATTTCCGCCTTCCTGTTTATCCCTCTGGATTCAATCATTTCGTGTGTCGTATCAAGAGAATTTGTTGTATACAGTCTGAGATGCTGAACTCCCGAGTGAGAGCTTTGTCAAGGTTGGCCGCTACGAAGTTTAGAAACATATTATAAATTTTTGGAGGATCACGTAGTGCTTATAAAAGACTGTACCTTGGTGGAAGGTTCATCAGCCTCCGATTCGACACGAGAATGGGATCCCGGCATGGCTCAGAAATCCGACAAAGCAACACCTTGCGAAAGAATGTTAGTTGATGTCGTGACTTCTCTCAGCGATTCTCGCGCATTAAGGCTGTAAAATTGGGTTAGGTTAACACGGGAAGCAAGACAAGGAACATACGTAGCTAATAAAGAGTTCGCATAAACTGGATCAACATCAGTATCTTTATCGCAGATTTTAGATATTGTAGAACACATACGGTTATTGATGAATTGGTACAGTGCAAGATATACTAGATTGTTAGGCATGGCGACAAACTGTTTTCAATTCTGGATTTCAGCATAATGAGGCATACCTTGGGAGTTGACGTACGCAAACTAAGATAGCAACATCTGTCACGCTGATTAACATTCGAGCAGTAAGTAGTCAGTCATATACATATCCTCGAAAATAGACACACCTTGTTAAAACTCCAGAACTAATGATATATGATATAATTCTGGAGACAATTGTGTTTGTGCTTGCAAATCGAGTTAGCTAACATATTGAAAATGACATATGTAAAGTCCCACACCTCTTTATCCCGTTACGACTGCTGGCCAAGAGGTAAACTATTGATACAGTGATAATTATATCATTTGCTGCAGCAACAGCGAGAGAAGCTGTATAATACGGCTATTTTCCAGAGTATAGAAGTTAGCCTGTTCAACTGAGTTTGGAAGCTTAAGCTTACTTCAATCCTGTGGAATTCAGAGAATTCGGGCCATTTGAACGTCAAAGCCATCACCCCTGCGTGAAGATTCCATAAGCAATTTCACACTCACACAGGCGTTGGCTCGTGTTACTTACCGATTTCAAGTACTTAAGGGCCTCAAATCAAATCAAATCCTAGCACGTAAGCAAATATATCCGCTCACCAAAGTGACAGACAGCCAGGATCAACTAGAGATGGTTTGTTTTTCATTTTGAGGAACAAGAAAGCTTGATTGACACTGGCTTGCCACGACGCCAATCAATAGTTTATTGCGCAGACTCACTAAGATGACGTCAGTCTCATTGTTCATATGATACTGATTAAAATGTGCTCACATATCCATATCCGACGTGCATAGAAACTAACATAAAATCAGCGTGGTGATATGCAAAGAGAGGTCAGCATGTACCAATGGACCAAGAAAATGATTGAACCCTAAGATATAAGGATGAGCAAAATCAGATTAGGCTCTGTACAGAGAAAACCTACCGTGATGCCTGTTGTTACCTATACAAAAACCACCACGCTCGATAAATCATATTGACAATCATATAAACATGAACTCACGTCGTCAGACCTATGGAAGGATATTGAGCAGGATCCTGGTGGTTATTAGACGGAGAAAACTCACACTTGCGTCCTTGCGCGAGCGGCAGGATCATTGAATTCTAGTACTAAAGAACGCCATGTGAAGGAACATATGAGAAGCGTGTGGACTGACTCAAGAAGCCTGAAAGTGAATGCATCCATGTTCAATTTTCCGCAAGTAGGGCTCTATCTCAAGGATCGTACCAGAGGAGTAAGACCTGAGTATCAAGTTAGTATCAGCACATTCAAAAAATCTGATGAAATATCGTACAACAGATTTGATATTGCTAGCATCTCTGTTCCAAAATTTTGAATAGTAATAATATACCTGCATAGACGTCACGCCATACAACCTGGGGGAGCGTGTTAATCATGCCACATTGTAACAGCCGCGCAAAGAAATGGACTTGCGTAGTCGAGATAAAATTTCCAACTAAGACAACTCCTAAGGTTGGTACAAGGACTCTGCTAGTCATATTCAACGATTTGGAAGAGATTTGGATGTTCAAGTTGGTTAGTGTTGGCTATTATATACTGTCATACATTATTACCAAAAGTGATTGCTCTATCTATGAGTACGATGAGGGTCGTGAATTGAATGTAATTGGCAATAGTACCACTGCCATGAAGATGGCTTGATATCGTGGTCGAAAGAACAGTCTTATGGCAGCCTGTCAGTGCTTTAGAGTGGTGTTCGCCGCAACTAACGAGTTAGGCCTATAATCAACCCGGCGTTTTGACACAATCAGAACCAGCACGAGGCCTTACTAGTCTCGAACCCAGCTTCGGACGTTTTGGGAATGTGCGGAAGAAGCCGCTGCTGGAGAAATTTGTATATCATCATCGTGCGGGCATCATAGTGGCCACTACTTTTGAACAACTGAAATACCAGCTTGAGGTTTGGCCCAAATCCTTAGCGAACGTTGAACGTTGAACCAACGAACCAGGTTGGCTTGGCCTTGAGCCGCCGGCGCCATGGTGCCTGGTCAAACATCCAAGGCTTTCCATCCATCAGAAATATAATCGTGTTAACGTTAAGGCGAAGGTTCAGTATCGCACTCATCTCACAGTCTCTTACAGAATGTGAGATTCACGCCCATAGTTGTCATTCACCATCATGATGAAGTTGTTATAGTGTGGGTGCACACCAGTAATTCTTGGCACCTCCGGTTCTACCTATCCCTCTGGCCGCTCTGAACCCCCCAAGATAACCCTCAAACGATCAAAACAAGCATATTCCCGATACACAATAAGAGGAACCAGAGCCAGCGGCGGTCAAGCAGATCGATCATCAGCATTCCATCATACGCTTTTGCGCTCAAAACTTTTTTATTACATAATCATTTGTAAGTATGTCTACTAACTCCGCGGCTACAATGCTATTCTAATGCAGCATCGTTGTCTTCATACTCCTTTGGCGATTCTCAGGCAATAGTGCTGAGATAATGATTCAAGATGATGATGAAAATAACTTTCTGGCTATCCAGGCGGAAATAAGATATCTCTGGCGTATATAAAATATAGGGTAAAGCTGCTTTCCTTTTGAAAGTATTACAATGAGTGTCACTTCGTCCATACTGCATCCTCCAACTTTTCGCTTTAGCCTTGTTTCTAGCACGCCTTCACGAAGTCGAATTTTGGAATTTTTGACTGCCCATGGTATGATTCCACCCTTTTCTAGCCACGTACACCAAACGAACATTTTTTTAGCACGTTCTCGAGTGCTATCAACTTTGGCCCAAGGTGTTATAAAGGGCCAGCTCATCATCGAGGACATCAGTAGCGCAGAGTCGCATCAGTTTGGGACATGCGTAGAAGGCCGCCCTCCTGTCGTTCTCAAAGTCGTTAGCCAGGACATGTGGGCCCGAATCCTTTTGTCAAACGATTTGGGCGGTGAGTCCCCTACAATCTCGAGTGGCTGGTCTACTCACCTACGATTAGTCTCCGAGGCTTATATGCAAGGCGACTTTGATGTGTCTAGTCTGAAAGCTATGTTTGATGTAAGTGTGCTACCCTCCGAACTAATATCTGATCTGACCCATTCGAACAGCTTTGGCTCGACAATCGCCATGCGCTGTCGAATTTATCAAGTACATTTAGCTTCATTTTTGCACTATTTTCCGCAGTAGCTATAAAGGCCCTCGGCCGACAGAACTTAACGATGGCACGGTGGAATGCAGTGAGTCGTCCGTATCTCACTCACCAACCTTTCATTTCATAAAAAAAATCAGGAGGTTGCATACGACACTTCAAACGATTTCTTCAAGGTATTTCCTTACTTACACAGCTAGAATATCTCTGATAATCTCGCTAGTGTTTCCTTAGCAAGGAAATGATGTATTCGTGTGCTATATGGGGTGAAGAAGAAAATGGTGTACGCGGAGATCTGACCATTGGACCTACTCCTGGAGACCTTGAATCAGCCCAGCACCGCAAAATTCACCATTTATTGAAAAAAGCTCGTGCTCGCGCTGGAGACCGACTTTTGGAGATCGGTTCGGGGTGGGGTGCCCTGGCTATTGAGGTATGATATCCGTTTGCAGGCCAAAAAATTATCGAAAGTTGTCGGCTTATATATTTTAGGCTGCTCGACTGGGCTGTACAGTTGATACTGTGACCCTTTCCGTAGAGCAGAAGGCAATGACTGAAGAGAGGGCTGCAGCTGCCGGATTCTCCGACTGCATCCGTGTTCATCTGTGCGACTATCGCAAGCTTCCAGAATCCTTCAAGGGCCAATTCGACGCCTTCGTTAGTTCTGAGATGTTTGAGGTAAATATCTTTGTATGCCAAGAATTATCGGAAGATTTCCTCAATCTCAACAGGCTGTTGGACCAAAGCACCATGGCGAATATTTCAGCATGATGGACTGGGCTTTGAAGGAGGATAGAGCAGCAGCTGTCATCACTGCGACAACGCAAGCCGAGTCTCGCTATACTGATTATCAGTATGAACATTCGTTACATTGCGGAGATACTCTCGTTGACGACGATCTCCCCCCAGGCCAGATGATTTTGCTCGTCATTACCACTGGCCGAATTGCCATCTCCCTAGCGCAACGAGCTTTGCTGTTGCAGTCCAAGCTGCTGTACCTGGTCGGTTCGTCCTGGAAAGCATCGAAGATCATGGAATACGTACGTTTGTTGGAGCATAGTTATGAACAGACTAATGAGACACTCTCAAAGACTATCCGCGCACCCTCCGCGAATGGGGCAGGTATGTTATGGTTGCTGTGCATGTCGTGTTAAAGTGTCACCTAACATTCTTCGGCAGGCGTCTCGAGAAGAACTTTAACAGCAAAGTCGTCGAGCACATGAAAGAAAGGTTTCCGCAGCTTTGCGATGAAAAGAACCTGGAAGCGTTCAGACGGAAGTGGATGTATATGTTTACATATGCAGAAGCTGGTTACGCTAAAGCTTACACCTCTTTGAATTGCTGGACGCTGGCTAGGCCGGTGAGTTATAGATCTCACCACTGGAGGTCCTGTAGCATGTGCTAATCCCAAAGCGGGCAGGAAAATGTGTCAACAATTTGTGATTAAATGATGGAGTTAAGTCGTAAACGGACATTGCTGTCGTAGACCGGATCTTGTATGTACATTAGCGTCGTTCGAAGTAAACGCTGAAATATTTTCAGGAGCCTGAAAAAAAGAAAAGTGGATATTTGTAAGCGTCTGAAGCTGAAATAATTACCAGAAAGGGTCGGGTATAGATGAATTCTCGATCAGATATACAAAGTCAGACTACAAAGGTTGTATATATAAAAAATCAGATCAGATTGAGCCTCCCCCCCACAAATCCATCGTAACTATGAGTCGACACCGTCCTACAATCCGCGATCAGCATCTCAATGCTCTCGACAGTTTATTCATCAACTCACAAACAACGCTACTTAACAACTTGCTAGCCTCCCTGAAACAACCGGCCCAGTTGTCTATCGGCCTTTCAATGTCATCATCAAGTGATTCCGACTCCAGCGACTCGGTTAGCTCCAATGTGGGATCAGAGTTGGGGTTGGGGCTCGATTTGGATAGCTTATCGCTTAGCGGCAGGTCTGACGGCATAGGCGAGTCGGATCGAGAATCTGATCGAGAGTCAGAGGGTGGTGAGGACAACGATGCCGAGGATATGGGGTATCAATCACATCCAATCACTCAGCTCACACTTATGCAGGTCACATCCGTAGTATACATGATGCTACACAAAACGGTGGAAGAGACCAGGGTTTTTTTTCCCAAAGCACCTGCATTTCGGCAGCCCCAACTTGGCTCGCTTGAGTGGGCTCGCCATAACGACACCCGCCATTTCTCGCGTAAGCTCCGCGTGCTTCCGGCAACTTTTGATGCAATCGTGACCCTGATCGAGAACCACCCAATATTTCATAACGAGTCCAACAACCCCCAGTATGCTGTTTCCCTCCAGCTCGCCATCTTTCTTGTTCGGGCCAGACATTACGGGAATGCTGTGTCATGCGATGATGTAGCCGAATGGGCTGGAGTATCAGCCGGCACAGTAGTGCTATCGACTAAGCGGGTGGTTGTCGCGCTCATTTCCCTGCATGACATGGTTATGTGCAAACCAACAAATGAGGAAAAAATAAAAGCTAAAGCTTATGCAGGGTCAAAGGTCTGCCCATCATGGCAAAACGGCTGGCTTTCAGTAGATGGGACAACATTCCCACTGTTCCAAAAGCCAAGCCATTTTGGCGAGGCCTGGTACGATCATTCATCAAATTACTCATTAAACGCTCAGGTGCGTTGTCCCGATCACAAATATTACATACAGATATTGACTAATTAATCCCAGATCGTTATCTTGCCGCACAATCTACGGATAGTTGACTACGGTCTGGGCCATACGGGCAGCGTCCACGACTCCTATGCATTTGAAAGCACTCAGATCTTTCGCGATCACACAGCATTTCTAGACGAAGGCGAGTGGCTGTGGGCAGACTCGGCATACCCCCTCCAAAAATGGTGTGTGGCGCCGTTTAAGCGTCCCACAAATGGTAACCTTACGCAAAGTGAGCGCCACTATAACTACTACCTCTCGCGTATTCGGATCCGATCGGAGCATGCAATCGGCTTACTCAAGGGCCGATTTCAATCTCTGCGAGAACTCAGGATACAAATCAGTTCACACCAGAGGCATCAGTGGGCTGTTATGTGGCTACGTTCATGTTTTATTTTGCACAACTTGGTGATTCTTATAGAAGGCGACAACAGTGCTGAAAGGTGGAATGATGATGGCGGGTTTGACAACCATGATGGGCGAGATGACAATCAGAAGCGAAGCTTCCGAGGATGTACCTGATGATATATCCATTGCCTGTGAGTTGCCAGAAGCACCTCGTGTCGTTGATGGGGTGAATATACCCGAGGGTCAGTTACTTCGTCATCGTTTAATGCTGGGACTTTTTTCTAGTCATCTTTATGTAGACTGAACCTGTAAACATTGAATGTAATACTTTGTTCACAAATACCACAACACTATGATTGCTCAACAAACATACAAAAAATAAGATAGTACAGAGATAGCGATGATTCAGAACAAGCATGATAGTATGAATTCACTCGTACAACCCCCCATCAACTGCCATTGAGTCTTCATTGTCATCAGCGTCATCATCAGCGTCATCATCACCGCTGTAATCTTTATAATTGTCCAATGCACGAGAATTGAAAGCAGAGGTGGATACGGAAGTGGAAGAGGAAGCAACAGGGCCAGAAATCGACTGCTCAAAGAAATTGGACACCAGTGAAGAGGGAGCAGGCAAGGTAGAGTTGTTGGCAAGAAGGGAAGAGATGATGCTACTATCCACACCAGGGATATCCTTGACGGCTTGGATGAGTTTGAATTTCATTTCAAACATGTCCTTCTTGTGTTGTCGCTGTTCTCGTTCCCTTTGTACCTGACTTCTGTTAACTAACTGCAGCTTCTCCTTGAACTGTTCGTGTTCCAACACAGTGGCTTCCTTATCTTTCGACCGCCTGTCGCTGCGTGCACGTTCTGCTATGGCCGTGTACTTCGCATGCCTCGCAGCTACCTTACCTCCCTTAACTTGGAGTGCCTCCTGTGCAAGGCTTTGCTGTCCTTGCATAGCCTGTGCAACAGGCTCCATCACCTTCTGCATCAAGGACACATTGTCCTCAATATGAGATCGTGGCTGCTTACGTGGCCTGTCGTCCACCTTTGCAGACTGTGGGGTCCCAGCGTCCTTTGTACTGACCCTTCTGTCTGTGGTGATAAGATGCTCTGTGCTCACTTCGTTGCCTGACGATGTTGCTAACTGGGCTCGGAGTGTCTCTCTGACGGTCACAGCAGATGGCCGTTTTCCCGATTTGACAATCTTTGCGGGCGCAGTTGCAGTAAGCTTAGATGGGACAGGGGGAGGAGGTGAGGCCAAGCGAGAAATGGGAGAAGACGGGGGAAGGTTCGCAAAGAAGCCAGGGTTAGGTGAGAGAGGAACGAGGTTCGCGCTGGGACTTGCACTGAAGCCAGACTGGCCAGAGGACGGAGAGCCTGGAGGTACGCTTGCGTAGAAGCTGGAGTGGCCCGAGGCGGGAGAAGCGGGAGCCTGGTTCATAAAGAAACCAGAGTGTCCAGACACGGATCCAGAGACAGGAGAACTTGGAAGCTGGAAGGGTATATCTTGAAATGGTACATCACGCACTTGTAGATGTCCGACTTCTAAACCTTGGAGACCTCGAGGCTGCATATCGTCAAATGAAGAACCAAAAGAGTGGGAGGAATGGTTCGTCTGGAAAAGTGAAGAAAGGGATTGATGGTATGCTCCTGGAAAAAGGCTGGCGGCGTTTGGGTCAAAAAAACTAGGATCAGTTGCAATAGACGGTAATGAAGGTAGTGATGAATTGTTTGGCAAGGAAGAAGCTGAAGATACCATGCCAGAATTGGCAAGAGAACTACTGTGATGGTTGATATGCGGAGGGATTTGACTGAACTGAGCGAATTGATTGAACGGTTGGTGGACAAAGTTGTCATTCTGGAAATGCTGATAATCCTCATACCCATGGCTCTGGGGGAGAGG